TGGGAGGAGATTTCCCATATTTCTCCCTAGAAGTCACTGGTGGAATCAAATAGTCAGAGGGGTTCGTGGTGTAACTTCCGGGGCACTAAGCCACCAGAGCTCCCCTCTTCTCCCTTCAATTCTCTTGCAACTATTGGGTGTATTAGATCACGGGTGACCACGCCACAGCGTCTACATTACACATTATTGTTGTTGTGTACAGTCGAGTCAGAACCGGCCCATAGCTGACCCTCCAATGGGTTTTCAGAGGCAGTTACTCACATGGGAGGAGATTGCCTATCCTTCTCCCATGGAACAGCTGGCGGCTTCTAACTGCATGTCTTCAGGATTTCAGCGCAGCCTCTTACAACTAGGGCACATTATGTAGGTAAAATGGGGGGACACCCAATTTAGTCCATAATGATAATACGTGAAAACCTTTGGGGTACAACCAAAAATTAGTGCTCAGGGGCAAGTTATAGCAACAATACATGCATACAAAATTATCATCCCAATCAACACCTTAATACCACATCTCCAGTCACAGAAAATGAAGAGCAAGTAAACCTCACAGTCTCAGTGAGAAAAGAAACAGTAAAACTAGAGCAGAGATAACTAAGAGAAATAATCGTAAGAATAAACCACAATTCAGTTCTTAGAGATATATCTGATTATCATTTTATTTATTTTTGTTAAAATTTTGTGTGAGATACTTTAACAAATTGATTTTTTTATCATTTATGCACATTGTTTCATAAAATTAATTTCACTTGATGCATGTGATTAATTAATTCTGTGTCTGATAATCCCTTTCTGGTATATTCCCTTACTTTTTACCCATTGTGTCAATTTCTTAATTTTTTACTACATTTCCCCTCATTTCTGGTAACCATCCTAACACTCAATAGCACAGTGTAAATGTAACCCAGATGCTCCCACCCTCACTCTCACCATTATCACGGTGGAACTGACAGCTAGTTGACCCACGAGTGGGCTTTCTGCATAAATTACAGGAGGAGATGGGCCATCTTTCTTCCACTTTCCCACTGGCGGATTCCAACTACAAGAGAGTTACAACCTTTGGGTTAGTGACACAACTCCCATGGGGAAGACACCCAGACCATTCGCAAATGAGACTTTTTTACACAGACATTAGGAAAGACTATATTTTCACAATGAGGATAATAACATTAGTTCTTAAATTGCAGGACAATTGAAACACGCCTTCCAGGGTAATAATTTAAGCTCTCTTTCATGATACCCTCCTTCCCTAACATTAGTAATAACAATCTCAGCTCTTTCAAATAGTCCTGAAGACTCTGCAGACAGACAGAATATTCCATGTACAAATAACACTCCAGCGGAACAGGAATCTCCAGGTATCTTACGTTGCACCAAATGAGAATATGCTCAAGCAGGCTCTCCAAGACATATTTGGAGACTGGACATGCAAAGAGCCTGAAGTACACCAGCTGGGAGCAGTTGCTCAGAGAAGGCAGGATGGCCTCGAGCTGGAAGGCAGTGACCCCACACCCACCTAAGTCCAGGTGCTGGAGGGTGCTGGAAACTCTATCTACCAGAACTTGTAGGATGTCAGGTGTTATGCAGGTCAGATTGACGTTACTGAAATCCAGAAACCTTAGCTGACTGGTGCTTGGGTACAAGGTCAGGAGGGTCAAATTGTCCTCAGAAAGATAGCAATTAGTTATGCAGAGGGTCTCTAAGGGAACTTTCACGCCACTGAGCAACTGGCCCAGATATCTGTAGAGGAAGTGGATAGAGTCCAGGTGGAGATGCTGGAGTTGATTGAACTTGTAGAGTTGAGAGGCATAGTCGAAAACCACCTTCATTCCTCTCTCTAGGTTCCAGGTACTTAGGAGCACGCTAGACAGGTGAAGCCTGCTCAGATTAACCATGTGAGCCAAGTAGCGACTGAACCAAGCCAGATGGAAGAACTGCCACTTACAATCCACTCTTACCTCCTGGACAGAATACAGTTGCATCGAATTCAGGATTTCCTCAATTGTTTCAATAGGGATTGACTTTTCATGAAATTCCACCTTCATACAGCAAAGGTGTATGAACTCATCCCTCTGCTTGATTTGCTCGATCAGGAAGGTGAGGAATGTGTCCAGGGTGACCTCTTTAAAGCAAAGGTCTATGAGCACCTTCATAGGGTCCCAAAGCTGCTTCTCTCTTGTCTCCAAAGAAGTTGTTTCTCCCCTGCTGGGCCAAGGATGGGCCATCTCTGGCTCTGCTAGCAGGAGTTCAGAACAGCTGGCCTGGGTCCCACAGCATGCACTCCTGGAGTCTGCTGAAGCACTGGGGCGGAAATCGAGCACTTTCAGTTTCCATGTCCTGGGTGGGATCTGCCGGGCACGGAGCGAGTCCAGCCCGTCCAGTACAGCAGTAACGATGTCCTCCTGATGATGCTGGTGAACCTGCATCAGATCCCCCAGAGGGAGACAGGGAAATGGCCAGGCCTGCACCATTACCTTCAGTGTACCCCAGTGTCTTCTCTGGACAGTTACCTTCAACAGAGGTGGGAAGCACTGAGGGGGCAGCAACTCCAGAATCCTGAGGGCCAAGGCTTCATCCTGTAGAAAGTTCTGGTTTGCAAGGTCCACAAGCCTGGGAAAGCCTGATGCGTTCATGTTGAAGACGCGCACCAAGTTGATGCTGGGCCTCCTCAGGCCTCAGAGAGAACCAGGAGTGATGACCAAGAGCCCAAGGTTCCTCAGAGAACTCTCTGGACTTTTATGCGCGCACTGCTCCTCTTTCAGCTCACAGCTGCAATGTCCAGCCCGTTCAAAGTCTGTGGGTTGGGTTCTGACTGGAACAAACTCACAAAGCTGCAAAAGCCGATGATCCCAAGACCAGAAGGTAACTGGATAGTCTCTGGCCCCAGGGGACAGAGGCTGAAGAATCTGAAGATTACCAGCAATTCTGCAGAGACCTCTGGCTCAAATCCCGAGAACGGGAAGGGGCTGCACCCTGGCTTTTGATGGAGCCTTTGGAAAGTCCCATTCAAGTGGGTGATTGGAGAAGGTTACATCCTATCTGAGCCCCTCCTCATAGGGGAAGACTATTTACAGCATCAATACCAAGCCACTGAGAATCGGCCCAATTAACAACCAGCCTTCTTAATCACTCACCATAGTCCCCAGGTGTGACCTTCTAAGTGTGAAACTCAATAGAAGCCTCCAGAAGGAGCAGAAGCCTTTGCGGATAATCGAAGGGATGCCTTTGCAAAGCCTGGAGGACTGTGGCTCCAGCCAAGGGCTAAGGAGCTGGTGTTCTTTCCAGGTGGTGGAGAAGGAATATCTGAGCTTGAGCAAGAGATTCTAGACAACCTACCAGTCTTCTGTCAACTGAGGTAGACCAGGAAACCACCCTGGGCCCTGGAGTCAGCGCCCACTCCTGGTGATCCCAGGAATGTCAGCGTCTGCTGGGCCTTATTTCTGAGGTGATCTTTGTTGTCATTGTTGTTGCTGATTGTTGTTGAGTGGAGCAGGACTCATGGTGACCCTATGAACAAAAGACCTGAAGCCCTTCTGCACCTCTCATCGTGTCTCAAAGTTCATAGTGTTTCCAGATACACGATGTGTAGGAAGTGGATGCTGCTCCTGCTTCCAATCTTCCTTGTTATGCTCTCGTTATTATTTTGGTAGGTGCTCTGTGGTCAGTTCTCCTCGTGACTCAAAACAGCCTGACTCATTACAGGACAAAGTCATTACCAAATCCAAGCAAATCCTTCCTAGCTTTGAGCCAATTCTGGCAACATCTAAGCATGTTCAGTATTTGTCACCCAGATACTGAAAAGAGTATAATGGCTTTTAAATGGTGAACTGATTGTAAGAACCCCAATTATGTTTTGCATCTGAGTCATTGATGGTCTGTTTCACAATCAGCACCTGACCTGGTGTTCACACCTGATACTGGCTGAAAGCAGGGAGTATCCGAGGAATGTCTGTGTTTTATTGACTATGCAAGGGCCTTTGGCTGTGTGGACCACAACAAATTATGACTAACTCTGAGAAGAATTGTAATCCACAACACTTGATTGTTCTTATGTGAAGCCTATACTTGGACCAGGAGGCAATTGTCAGAACAGAGCAAAGAAACACTGCATGATTCAGAATTAGGAATGGTGTGCACCAGGTGTGTGTCCTATCTTCATACCTTTTCAGTCTAAATGCAGAACCGATTATCCAGGAGACTGGGCTCTATGAGGAGAAATGTGGCATCAGGATTGCAGGAAGTTTCATTAAAAACCTGCATTATGCACAACCCTGCTTGCTGAAACTGAGGAGGACCTGAAACACTTGCTGCAGAAGGTCAAGGACTGCAGCCTTCAATATGGATTGAAACTCAATATCAAGAAAACAAAGATTCTCACCACTGGGCCAATTGGCAGCATCAGGATGGATGGTGACGAGATTGAAATTGTTAATAGCTTTAGTTTCCTTGTTAACAGCTTTAGTTTCCAGTGACTGGGGTAATGGAGGTAGGTATGTCAGAGACAGTAACATTGGCACAGGAGAGAGCAGGGTTTAGGGCTGTTGTACATGGGGCCACTGTGAGTCGCAGGTGACTCAGCGGCACACAATACACAACACAAGTTATGGTTAGAAAAATCTGGTCATTCCTCTCTAACAATGATGCTTGCAAAATTGTTGTTGTTGTTGTTGTGGTGGTGGTGGTGGTGGTGTACCCTAGAGTCAGAACTGACCCATAGCTGACCCGTCAGTCAGTGGGGCTCCAGATGCTGCCAGTCCCAAACCATGTGCCTTCCAGACTGCAGCACAACTTCTTGCCACTAGGCCACCCAGAGCTCCTTTACAAAACTGTAGTAACTAGAATTCTCTGGGCCTGTTATAATATAGAAAAATCAGAACCAGTGCAAACAATCAAGTGTGGCTGAGGAGTGAGGGTCCTGCATACGCTGTGATGTGATATTATCATTGTAAGGTGTCATCTGGTCACCTCCCACTCTGAGTGGTCCCACACTTAACCAAAGGAAGCTCTGCTCGCCCCTGCACCTCATTACAGCCCCCGAGGGGCCCACGCCTACTGCTGCAGTCACCACATCAACTTACTATCTCGAGGGTCTTTCTTTTCCCCTGAGCCTTTACTTTTGCAAACATGTTGTCTCCTCACTCCAGGGGCTGGCATTGCCTGAAAACATCCCCAACGTGTGTGAGAGATCAACTCGTCACCCCTGCTTCAAAGGAGCATCATGGCTGTACCAGGACAGGTAATTCTGTTCTTCTGGCAGTCCGTGGTATGTATCTTCCATCCGTCCCCAGCACCACCATCCAAAGGCATTTATTCTCCAACTAATTTCCTTAACTGTTGTCCAACTTTTACACACCTACGAAGCAACTGAAAATGCCAAGCTTGGGTCAGGCACACCTAAGTCTTTAAAGTGATACCCTTTCTCTTTTTTTTGCTTTGGAGAGGTACTGAGCAGCTCATTTGATCACTGCAACATGTCATTTGATTTGTTATTTTATGAATGTTGGTTGTAAATCTAAGTAAAACAAAATTCTAGGCAATGCCAATTCTGTCTCCGTTTATCATAATGCTGCTTATTGGTCTGGTGGTGAGAATTGTGCATCTCTTTATGTTTAGATGCAGTTCATACCAAAGACTACATAGTCTTTGGGTTTCATCAATAAATGGTTCAAAACTTTATTTTCTAAAAGCAAGGTTGTACCATCTGCATATGACACATTTTGAAGCATCTTCTTCTAATCTGATGTCACGCATTTGTTCATACTGACCAGTTTCTCAGATTATTCAGCATGTATATTGATTAGATAAGGTAAAAGAATACAGTCTTGATACACACCTTTCCTGACTTTAAACCATACAGGTGTCTGGTTTGAAAGACTGCTTCTTGGTCTACAGACAAATGCTGCAGAAGCAACAATGAAGTATTCAGGGATCCCTATTTTTGGCGATGTTATCTGTAATTTTGGAAGCAGGAGTGGTATCCACCTCCTAAACAACATGCTTCCGGAAACTCTATGAACTTTGTTAAATGACCAGATTTGCAGAGTGGCTTCAGGCCTTTTGTTCATAGGTCGCTGTGAGTCGTGCTCGACTCGAAGAAAATCAACAAGAAGAACGTCAGTAATTTACTCTCACCCACATAGTAAAAGGAGTAAAAATAGTCAACAAACACAGTAAACAGCTTTCCAGTGTCCTGTGCTGTCAGGATCGATCTGATATCAGCAATGATATCCCTTGTTCTAATGGGTTCTTCTGAATCCAAACAAAATCTCTCTTCCCTAGCAACTTCTTGCTCTGGCCACTTTTCAATTATCTTCAGTAAGATTTTACTCGTTTATGATAATAGTGTTATAATAATAATTAACATCCTAGTTATAATTTATTACATAATGTCTGCATTCTGTATGATTGTCTTTTATGGAACAGGCATCATTATGGATGTCTCCTAGTCCACTAGCACTCTTCCAAAATCCTTTCCGAGGATGAGAGAACAGCTCTGGGTCTGCATCTGTTTGTCAAAATGCCTTCACTGATCATCTTAGCTTTCACCTTTGTCTTCAGTGCACTTTGGACTGCTTTCTTAAGGACCAATGGTTCCTGATCTTAGGCCACCACAAGGCAGGGTTGAACACTGACCAATTCCTTTTTTGCACGACGGCCCTGTGTATCCCTGCACGTTCTTCATGAAACTTCATGCTTTGTTCAGTATTTTGCCCACAGACTCTTTCATTAGGGTTAATTTTCCCCCCCTTCGATTATTTCCTCTTGAGAAATGCCAGCTGTGTTTCCCAAACCCTCTTGGTGTACTGACTTTAGGTCTTTGCTGAGTTACTTGTTATACTTTGTATAACTTCTCAAATTGTCTTTTAGAATCTTCTATGTAGCTCTCTTATTTAATTTCTTTTTATAATCTCTAGCTTTACATATAAAACAAGTTTTAGAGTCTTTTTTGACTTCCACTATTTTTTCATTTTTTTTTCTGTCATTGTGTTATTTTTTTATTTTTCTACTAGTTTATTTATAAAATTCAAATACAAATTTTTTCAATATCCCTCATGCCTCCATCAGATTGTACAACCCAATGATTAATCCCCTCTCCACCCCCCCCCCCACCCCCCCCCTCCCCCCCCCCCCGCACATCCACATCCCTCTGCTTCCAGCCTTTCCCACCCCTCCTGGATCCTTATACTTCTTCTACAACAACAGTCTTATACAGTATTTATCCTTGTGGGACTGAGTTAATTCACTCAGTATAATGCTCTCCAGTCTTTCTCAAGTTAGGTAATGATTTCTAAAGTTATTGCTCCGGTGTGCTGCATAGTATTCCATTGTGTGAATGTATCATAATTTCTCAATCCATTCGTTTGTGGTTGGACGTTTGGGCTGTTTCCATGTTCTCGTGATGGTGAATAATGCTGCTATGAACAGTGGTGTACAAATCTCAGTTTGTGCCTCAGTTCTCATATTCTCAGGGTATATTCCACATAATATTCTACTTATTTCATGTATGATGTCCTTGATGTCATCCCACAACTTTTCTAGTCATCAGTCGTTATTGTTCAATGCAGCAAACAAATCTGTTCTTGAGATGGAGTATATACTCAGATGGGATGTACTAAAGTCACATTTTATCTCA